TGGTGGCCCTCCCCCCCCCTGCCCCCCATGGCCAGCCCTCCCCCTTTTGCCCCCCCCCCTATAGCCAGTCCCCTCCTCTTCCTCCTCCTCCTCCCCTAACCTCCCTTCTCTTCCTGCCTTCCATCCTGTGATCACTGGGGGCTCTCTCCCCTCCCCCCATTTCACCCACGCGGATTGCCTTCTCTTTCCCTCTCCTCCCTCCTTCTCTTCCTCCCCTTCCTCCCCCCCTTCCTCCCCCCTCTTCCCTCCTCCCCTTCCTAACCCTCTATCCTCTCTTCCCTCACCCCTTCCTCCCCACTCTTCCCTCCCGATCTTCCTTTCCCTCCACGTCCATCCTTCCCTCCTCGCCTCCCTCCGTCCCCCCCCCCCCATCCACCCCTTTGACTCTCTCCACTGACCCTTCCTTTCTTTTTTCTTCTCCTTTTATAGACTTTCATTAGTCCTGTTGCTGAAGGCTTTATAACTGCTGAGGGGACCGGGCAGTGCGTGTATGTGAAAATACTTTATCTATAGAGAGAAAGAGCAGAGGCGGAGGGAAAAAAAGAGGAAGGGAGAGAGAGGTAGGGGAGGAGGGAGGGAAGGAGGGAGGGAAGGAGGGAGGGAGGGAGGGAGGGAGGGAAGGAGGGAGGGAGGGAGGGGGAGAGAGAGAGAGAGAGAGAGAGAGAGAGAGAGAGAGAGAGAGAGGAGAGAGAGAGAGAGAGAGAGAGAGAGAGAGAGAGAGAGAGAGAGAGAGAGTAGGGAAGGGAGAGGGAGAGGGAGAGGGAGAGAAAGAGAGAGAAAAAGAGAGAGAGAGGTAGAGAAAGATGGACTATGTTTTCATTCACTATTTCTCTGTCTATGTTATCTATGCCGATCAACACACACGCACATACAGCTATATATATATATATATATTTACAGCTATATATATATATATATATATATATATATATATATATATATATATATATATATATATATATATATATGTATATATATATATACATATATATATATATATATATATATATATATATATATATATATATATATATATATATATATATATATATATATATATATGTATATATATATATACATATATATATATATATATATATATATATATATATATATATATATATATATATATATATATATATATACATATATATATATATATATATATATATATATATATATATATATATATATATATATATATATATATATATATATATATATATATATATATACATACCTTATAAGAGTGTAGTCTGATAAGAAAAATGGCGCATATCTACATAAAGACCCCGATGCGTGGCCAAAGCAACCAGATGAAGAATCGCCAGAGACAAGGGGGAGGGAAGAGGAGGAGAAAAAAGGAAGAGGAAAACGAGATGAAGATAAGGATCAAACACCCCCTCCCCCCCCAAAAAAAAAAATACACAACAGGAATACGAGATCCGCCATTACTCTCGCATCGGCGTAATGACAACAGCGAATGGCCCAATTTATCAGTTTCTATAACAGTAACCGACCATGCAGGAGAGTCTCGACCATTATGGTAGGTTCTTGCTACTGTGCGCTTTCACTCACTCACACGAAGGCCTTTACTCGTTTATTCGTTGTAGTTATTTTGCTTTTTTTTTTACTTACTGTGTTCATAGAAGATATCACTGGCTCGTTGTACCCATCAATAACTAGTTCTTATTGTACTTACTTACTTACTAACTCACTTACTCACTCACACACACACTTACTCGTTCACTCACTCACTCATTCACTCAGTCACTGACTCACTCACCCACACAACTCACTCACCCACTGACTCACTCACCCACACAACTTACTCACCCACTGACTCACTCACCCACACAACTTACTCACACTCACTCACTCACCCACACAACTTACTCACACTCAGTCACTCACTCACCCACACAACTTACTCACACTCACTCACTCACCCACTGCCTGTACTCACTCACAGAAGTCCCTTACCCGTGTACTCACCACGCTTCGGGTCCTCTCTCGGCAGGGGAGGGAGCGCGGTGTTGTGGTGTTGCGGGAGGCCGAGGTGCCCTGCGGCTGCCCCAGGGTACCACGCCGCAGCCCAGCCCGCAGCCGCAGCCCCGCCGTTGAACATCCGCAGCTTGTCGTACACGCTCTCGCCACCGCCCGCTGCCACGCCCACGCCCGTCGCTTGCTCCTTCTGGGCGGCGAGGTTTCTGAGGACGCGGTTGATGGAGGAGACCTGCGGGGGAGAGAGGGAGGGGGAGGTTAGTGGTGGGGGGCGGTGGTGGGGGGAGGGATGGAGGGGATGGAGGTGAGAGAGAGAGGGCGAGAGAGACAGACAGACAGACAGACAGACAGAGAGAAAGAGGAAGAGAGAGAAAAGAAAGAGAGAGAGAGAGTGATAGAAAGAGACAAACTGACATATAGACAGACAGACAGACCGACAGACAGAAAGACAGACCGAAAGACAGACAGACAGACAGACCGACGAGCAGAGTGCCACGCTCTCGAGAGTTCGACGACGAGTGCGTGCGTAGGATCTCCTCGAGAACACAACACGGAAGTGCATTTGGATGACGGCCAAGATCCGGGTTGTAAAGACGAGAAAACCGAGGAAGTTTATTTAGACAATCGCTTAAGTAGTTAAGACGATAAAGAAAGAAAGAGAAGAAGAAGAAGAACGGGAAGGAAAAAAAAAAGTGAAATTTGATAAACGAAGGAAGAACGATTAAGGGGAATTAATCACGTGTTTTCCCTTGTTATTTGTTCACGTAAGGACAACCTATTCACAGGAATGCAAAGTACACGTACAATACGAAGGGGAGCGAAAGCGAGATAAGGAAATGAGAATAAGGACAGGAGGAAACTGCGAGGGGGAGAAGGGAAACGTTGATAAAAATGTGATGATAATGATTATTCTGATAAACAGGAGAGGGAATGAGAAATTGTGTTAATATAACGGATGCAGAGATAGAAGAAGGAGGACGAGGAGAGAGAGAGAGAGAGAGAGAGAGAGAGAGAGAGAGAGAGAGAGAGAGAGAGAGAGAGAGAGAGAGAGAGAGAGAGAGAGAGAGAGAGAGAGAGAATGAAAAAAGGGTGAGAAAAATGAAAGGGAATGGAAAGAGGAGAGGAGGATGAAGAGACGAAAGGTGTGGAAAGGAGGCAGGGGAGGATGGGGTGGGAGAGAGGGTAGAGAAAAGAGGGGGGAGGGGGGGGAGGACTGATCGGTTGGTGTGTCGTGCATATTGACAGCTTCTTAAAGATGACGCCCCGTCTTGCTTACCTTCTCTGTCCCTCCCCTTCCCTCCTCCCTCCTTTTCCTTCTTTTCTTCCCTCCCACTTCCCTCCTTCCTCCCTCCACTTCGCTGTTCTTTTCATCCGTCCGTACCCCTCCTCCTTTTGTTCTTCCTCCCCCTCCCTATATTTCCCCTCCCCTTTCCCTTCCCCCTCTCCCTCTCTCCCTTCCTCTCCCTTTCTCCATTCCTCTCCTTTCCCTCCCTTTCCTCCTCTCCCCGCCTTTCTCTCTCCCTTTCTTCTCCCTCCCTTCCTTCCTCTCCCTTCTCTCATCTCCATCCCTGCCCTCCCTCCCTCCCTCCCTTCTCCCCTCCCTCCCTCCCTTCCCCCTCTCTCCCTCCCTCCCTCCCGCATCTCCATCCCTCCCTTCTCCCCTCCCTCCCTCCCTTCCCCCACCCCCCTCCCTCCCTCCATTCTCTCTCCTCACTTTACTCATTATCATCAGCGTTCCCTCACGGCCAATCCGCGGATCAGTTGAGGCGATTTTTGGGTCTGTTTCTGGAGGAATCGCGCCTTGTTTGCGCCGGTGAGGAGGCCTTGTTCTGTGGGGCCGGGGATTAAAATCGCTCTGTCTGTTTCTGTCTTTCTGTTTGTCTGTCTGTGTGTCTGTCTGTTTGTCTGTCTCTGTTTCTGTTTCTGTGAGTGTGTGTGTGTGTGTGTGTGTGTGTGTGTGTGTGTGTGTGTGTGTGTGTGTGTGTGTGTGTGTGTGTGTGTGTGTGTGTGTGTGTGTGTGTGTGCGCGCGCGTGTGTGTTTGTGTGTGCATATGAATGCATATACCTACCTATATATCTCCGTCTTTATCTCTTTTTCTTACCTATCTATTAATCTATCAAACCATCTAAACCTATCTGTCTCCCTATCTAATTACCCATTTAATCATTAACTAATCTCTCTATCTATCAACAAACGCTGGTGAACTGCAACTTACAAGAGCAGGCTTCCCTCCCCCTCCTTCCCTCTCTCCCTCCCTCCCTCCTTCCCTCCCTCCCTCCGTCCTTCCCTCCCTCCCTCCCTCCATCCCTCCTTCCCTCCGTCCTTCCCTCCCTCTCTCTCTCCCTCCTTCCCTCCGTCCTTCCCTCCCTCCCTCTGCCCTCCGCCCTCCCTCCCTCCCTCCCTCTCGTATTCTGAGACCAAAAAGTAGGAAAAAATGCGATCACTCGAAAGTTGTTTTAATGAGCTCCATCTACCGTCGGGCAAAGTAGATGATGACGATGACGAAGAAAAGTAGATGGAATGAAGTAGAGACGTAGAGACGAGAGGAGATAAGATCAAGGAGGTCCTGACCCTCGGTTCCTCCCCTCCCCCCCTCCTCCCCCCCCCTCTCCCATGCTGTCCCTTCTCCCTTAAACCCCCAATAGATCCCCCCTCTACAACCTCCCCCCTCCCCCCCTTTCCTTCCTTTCCCCATGATACCACCCCCATGCCCCCTCCCCCCCGAAACAACCTCTTACCGCCTACTCCCTCCCCCTCCCTCCCCCCCCTCAAAACTCTTACCCCTACCTTCTCCCCCGACAACTTCCCTCTCAAAGTCCCTCCCTCTCCCTCCTCCCCCTACTTCCTCCCCCTCCATTGCCCCTACCTCCTCCCCCCTTCCCTTCCCCCTACCCCCCCTCCTTCCCCCCTACCTCCTCCCCCTCCCTTCCCCCTACCTCCTTCCCCTCCATTTGCCCCTACCTCCTCCCCCTCCCCTCCCTTCCCCCTGACAGCTTCCCTCACAGATCCCTTCCCCCCTTCCTTCCCCCTCCCTCCCCCCCGCCCCCCGCCGCTCGCCCCTCTGAGTTACTGAGCGCCATTCACACCCACCCAGACGGAAAACGGGCGTCCTTCTACAGATCTTCTCTCGCGACGTCGACTTGGGTTTCCTTCTTGTAATCTCCTGTTGATATGCTAGATGGCTGTCGATTCTCCGCGATTCTCGACAGCCGGAAATGTTTATTCGACTTCTTCTGAGCGACAGGAAGCAAAGCCGAAACACTGATCTGATATAATGCCGTTTCAGCTGCAGCGCCGCCCACGGAATCGGATGAGTGACTGTGACTTCGATCCCAGGGAAGATGGCAGGGCCTGACCCCATATGCCTATTATTCAAGATATATCACTTCACATATTGGTATGGAAGTTATATAACGCCGGTCCTTTTATCTCGTATTTCGTCGATATATCACAGATGAGTATGTTTAGATGCGTATATATGTGTATGGATACAAACATAAATACATTTGCTGTGTTTGTCACACTTGATATAACAAAACACATATAAACACAGTATTTACATGTGTGTATATATGTATATATATATATATCTATATCTATACATATATACATATGCATATATGTATATATAAGAATATATATACTCATATGTATATATATGTATGTATATATATATATATATATATATATATATATATATATATATATATATATATATATATACATATATATATATATATATATATATATATATATATATACACATATATATTTATATGTATATATGTATAAATATCCACTACACACACAAACACACATATATGGACACGCACCGCAAATATACACAGTGAACCATGATCCCCGTACATACCCATTTCTGTATACCTATCATGATCACTCCCCTCCCACTCCCCCCACTCCCATACCCCTCCCCATATCTCCTCCCCCCACCACCCTTCTCTACTCCCCCGTACCCCCTTCCCACCCCAAACGCACCGCCTCGTCCCAAACCACTCGAACAAGGTAACACGTTGGACGAAACCCGAGCCAATCAGCGCCGCCCATCAGATCGCCCTCGCTCTCTCTCTCTCTCTCTCTCTTTTGCTCTCTCTCTCTTTCTCTCTCTTGCTCTCTCTCTCTCTCTCTTGCTCTCTTTATCTCTCTCTCTTTCTCTCTCTCTCTTACTTTCTCTCCATCTCTCTCTCCATCTCTCGCTCTCTCTCTCCATCTCTCTCTCTCTCTCTCTCTCTCTCTCTCTCTCTCTCTCTCTCTCTCTCTCTCTCTCTCTCCATCTCTCTCTCTCTCTCTCTCTCTCTCTCTTCTCTCTCTCTCTCTCTCTCTCTCTCTCTCTCTCCATCTCTCTCTCTCTCTCTCTCTTTCCCTCTCTCTCTCTCTCTTTCGCTGGACGTGAATGCCCCTACTTCTCCGTCTTGATATCACGACAATCAGTGCGGTCTTCGCCTCGCCTGATTGGCTGATTGGTAATAGAGCGTTCTCGGGTTACGGGGAGGGGGGGGGGGGGGGGGTCAGGGTAGGGGAGGAGGGGTGGAGGGGGTGGAGGAGGGGTGGGGGAGGGGGTGGGAGGGGAAAGGGGTAAGGAGAGAGAGAGAGAAAAGGGGGTAGATTGGGAGAGTAAGGGGGGAAAGGGAGGGAAAGGAAAAGGGGGGAAGGGAAGGAAGAAGGGAGAAGAAGAAGAAAGGAAGAGAGAGAGAGAGAGGGGATAAGGAGGTAGAAAGAATTAGGAAAAGGTAAGGAGGGGAGGGAAGAAGAAAGTGGAGAGAAGTAGGAGAATACGAAGGGAGGGGATAGAGGAGAGAGAGTAGGGGAGGAGGGGGAGAGGAGAAAGAGTAGGGGGGAGGAGGACGTCTCCCGTGTGTCTGGGGCCGCAGGTGGGGGGGGGAGTAGGCATCCTTTCTTAAATGATTCTCTTTTTTTACCTCTTCTATCAGTATTATCAATAATATCTCAACGCATTTTATTTAAATTCTGATACAATGCACTATATACTATTTTTTATACATTTTTTATTAACTTGATAAACGCTGCTGATTTAAGCCAATAAAAATCAAGGAGAAAACGAAAGTAGAGATTATTAAAAACAAAACCAAGAATGCAAAAATAAATAGATAAATAAATAAATGAATAAATAAACGAAAGAGATTATTAAAAAAACAAATCTTCAGTTACAGTTGTATTACAAAACCAAGAGGGGCCGCCCATCAAACTTCGAA